AGCAGGTCATAATCCATTTTGCTGTTTTTAAACTGTTGAGTCTGCTGGATCACTCTTCAACACGGCGAGGCGTGGAAAGCAGTTGTTGTCAGGCAACTTGCTCTGTAGGTGCCATTGTTTCCAGCTGTCTCTTTTTTCCTCTCCCACCTACCCCTGCATTTTCTGAAATGCTTCAGAAAGGTGCTGCATCTTTGTTTCTGAAGAGCTCTTTAATCCCATCCATCCTTCAAATGAATGTGTAATTGCACTGCCTTTTCTTAAGGGCAGAGTAAAATGGTTCCTTTCTTTGAAAGCATGTGGAGGAAACAACAAACATGAATTTGAGCTGTGGGTTAGTCAGGTGGGAAGAGAGGGGCCTGCAAGCAGCTAGTCTCACCTGGTCACCTGCATCAAATGCGAGAATCGGCTCTGAGCAGGGAAACTGTACAAATGGAAGTACTAATAAAGTCGCTGCCCTAATAGGGATTATTTTCTTTATGGGCCAACATAGTTAGCTTTTAATTTTCGCGTGACCAATAATGCCAACTTTAGTCATAAAGCAGCAGGATTCTAAAGCTCAGGAAGAGGATTTCATGCTTTCCCTCTTATTGCAAGATGAAGCTGCCCAGTTTGGCTTATGTTGACTTTCGTTTTTCAAACCTAGCACAACTCCTAAAATTATTCTCTACCTTTGTTGTTGTTGTTATCACACACACACACACACACACACACACACACACACACACACAGGTTTCTCTTATTCTTTTTCTACCTACCAAGACATTTGTATGTTTTGCCTAAAGATGGAGACAAACCAGGATAACCAGGGTTATATATTGTTAAGTATGGAGAATGAGCCATTGATATGCTCCTTCTTCCCAGCACCCATAGGTGCAAACTCAAACCTGTTCAGCACTTAACAGAGTCCCTCATTTGAACATTTGCTCTGTCCCGTCCCTTCCCATTCCATCCTAAAGCCTGTGATCAGCGGCAGACACTACGACTTCACCATCAGCCAACCTTTTCTCTCTCCCACCACCCTCTTTACCATCTATCCCGGTGAGGAGTTCTGGAGAACGTGAAGAAACTCCCCACACTATTTTGTGACATTTATTTGGTTGGCCTAATAAATTTATCACCCTAATATGGACGTGCAAGAATTGTTTCCTTTTGTCTCTCAGGCTGCAAATGGTTGGTGGCAGATGGGCTAGGAGAAATATTTCCCCCCCTTTTTTCTGTGGGTGAGGCCTAGGAAATCCTGTTTGCCTCATCCTTTTCCCCAATGTTTATCCCGCACATAATCTGTTTATGTGGAACTGTGCGGGCCTTGAAATGAGCAGACATCAGGTAGAATTAGTCACTGTAGCCAGAACTAGAGAGAAGCTGCATGTAGGAATATTTACCTTTGCTTTTCCCCCCCTCTTCCAGAAGAGGATTGGAGAAATTCTTGGAGGGTAAGGCTTTCAATGACCACTAGTCATGATGCGTTTTACTTTGTATGTGAAAAGCCCCAGGTCCAAACCTTGGCATTTCCATGTAGGGCAGGGAAAGATTCAGGGTTTGGCTGAAACCTTGGAGAGCCACTGCCAGTCTGTGCAGACAGTATTGAGCTAGATGGACCAATGAGTCCCAAGTGGTAGATGTTTCTTAAGTCCCTACAAGTTTCCGTACTTTCTTCTTCAAAGGCTGCAGCACAGGGTGGGAAGTCTTGAGCAGAGAAAAATGGGAGGAATATATAGTCTCTTTGTGTAAAGGTTGTGTGTGTGTCAGTCTACGGGTGCCAGTACCTCCTGTGGTGTCTGCAAAAGGTCTCAGTAATTGTCCCCTGAAAAATACAAAACAGATTAAAATTACCTCAACTTCCTAAGCAACTGGGTAGACTTGTCTAAACAAAGGTGTTTTTGGCGTTTTTAGTGTTGGTGCTGACTTTTAAAGCTCTAAACGGCCTCAGCCCAGTATACCTGAAGGAGCATCTCCACCCCCATCATTCAGCCCAGACACTGCGGTCCAGCTCCAAGGGCCTTCAGGCAGTTCCCTCACTGTGAGAAATGAGGTTACAGGGAACCAGGCAGAGGGCCTTCTCGGTAGTGGCGCCCACCCTGTGGAACACGCTTCCATCAGATGTCAAGGAAATAAATAACTATCTGACTTTTAGAAGACATCTGAAGGCAGCCTTGTTTAGGGAAGTTTTTAATGTAATGTTTTATCATGTTTTCAGTATTCTGTTAGGAGCCACCCAGAGTGGCTGGGGAGGCCTGGCCAGATGGGCGGGGTATTTATTTATTTATTTATTTATTTATTTTTATTATAGCAGGTGCCAAAAAGAGTACAGTGAAGGCTCCTGCTTGATATCAATAAGCAGAGAGTTCCAAAGTGTAGGTGCTGCCACACTAAACAACCCAAGTTCTTAGAAATGCAACATGTTCTCATGTTGCTCCTGAGGAGAAGTGAAATAATATTGATTGGTGGACTTTGTTTTAATTAAATGGCTTATAGATTTCTCAGACAAAATGCTTTCCAA